GTGACTCACCCGGACGCGACGTGAACACGTCTGGTCCTACAGAGCCATGGAATCAAAAAAACCTGACCACAAAACAGTGCCGATTGACCTGCAACGAATAGAGGCTCAAAACCACACATGGCACGACAATATAATTATCACCTTGCTGCACTAAACAATGATGGAATTGCGCAGTACCATTAAGCTACGGTTGAGCATACACGATGTATAAGAACACAAGATGCGATCATTCATGGCTCGAACACAATATACACAAGCTGGTCAAAACATTTCAGCAGACGCATTCAAAAAAGAAAAGCGGAAAGGTGAACTAAAAGACAAATACACTTGGCCCCATTTCTTGGTCAAATGGCCCATTGGGAAAGCGAAATAGGCTGAACAGGAAAGGAGTTGTTCTGAGGGGCTAACAAGTTGGTCTGTTAATCAACTGATTTGAGTCTGGCGTCTAACACTTAATTGCGCAGGTGTGTAGCTGATTGTGTGACCAGGCGCCTTCAGACGCACCTAGGTAGCAACGTGTGCACGCTGTCAATCGTAAGAGTACATGTGAAACGCCTCAGTCCGAACGTGCTACAGGGTCGGCAGCCGATACACCATGTGCGCCTATGTTTCTCTATCCAAAGAAACGAATCCCACCAATTAGGACGAGAGCAGACGTTTGTTCCCAGTCGTCTGTGCGACGATTGGAAGGGTGGGATAACGAGCCGCAACCAAATACGTTCGCCGTGTAATTGTGAACGTACATTTCACATAAACGCAATGGTAGAAAGAGTATCGTATACGCGTCACACGATTGAGGTGAAGAAAATAATACTGAAGGCGTACGAGAAAGGAGGCGGTTGGAAACCTGTTGCCTGTACACTGAATGTGAAGGTGAAAACTTACCCTACGTGGATACGAGGCTACGGAACGGATGGAGCAGAAAAGGGGAGTCAGTCGCAGAGCAGTTCGAGAAAGCCACGTCGATTCCCAGGTGGAGTGGGTTCCTGTGGAGCCTACCGTTAGCCTTGAACCCCTTCGTTTGTGGTAAGCACTAGCACAGTTGCAAGATGTTTGGACCATAGACTGATAAGGGTGGAGAAGCTGCACACTATTCAGGAGTCCATGAACACGCCGCAGAACAAAAAGCGACGCAAGTACTTTGTCTTGCAGCTCATGAATTACGAGGTGGAAGGAAGATAACCCGTGTGGATCGATTATATGGGCTTCAAGCTATTTTGCGTTCGCACTAGGAGCCGCTCACGACGTGGCAGTCGAGTGCGGTGGCGAAGATGCGGGGACCGCATGTTCACCTTGTCGGTGCTATGACAAACAGCGGCTTGATAGCGTTTGGTTTTCGGCGGAAGCTACAACAAACAAAGGTGCGCTCGGTGACTGCGACGAGTGGTTGCTACAAACGGAGCAGCGTTGGAATCTTGTCTTTTGGTTTACGACAACGCGCCCTGTCATACGCACATGGAGAAACCTTACTGGTCTGGGAGACTTCTACATTTTGTGACATACTCCATCACACAACCCTATCGAGGGCATCTGGAGCATAATAAAGGCTAGTGTAAGGAAGGCATGGGGGACGGTATTCCGAAATGCTCTTGGAGGCCCTGAAGGCGTTCTTAGTACAAGCGAGTATCGGATTCGTTTTTTTTTGGAGCAAGCGGTGCTGGGCACACGGACCTTATTGATGCAGCAGCATCGCGAACAAATGGTTCAGCATGTCAGAAGGAATTATGGACGTGTTGTTCCTTTAGTGGATCTGTAAAACATTCCGCGGGCAGCAAAGCACATGCTAGCAAACGAGTGTTCTTCCTACTTAATTGTGATGCCGGGTCAGAGTGCACTTTATACGCTGCTAGGAAAAGCCAGTTCTTTATTCAGTGGAGCATCGTGTAGTTCTGGAAAAGTAGTGCGCGTAGTCACGTCGCATAACCGTCCTCGTTTTGGAACAAACATGCGGAGTCTCGAGAAATCGGTGCACTCCCTGACACGATTGTATGATCACAACCGTGATTGATCGCCTATCGTCTGTGTTTGGAGAGTCAGTGGATAAGGATTTTCATAATGATATAAAAATAAGAAAACTGTACTATGCAGGCTTGACCGAGATAGGTAGAGTGTGGCCGTTTGCCGGACTGCTTAATCCCTTACATCACCGCAGGCGGCTGGACGCTGCTTGACTTCGTGCAAGGATGATGAATGCGGAAACCTAACGCAAATAGGGAAACACCACAGGGTTGCGGTGAGCTGCTTCGAAGTGGCCGATAAGATAGATTTACTTTGGCCGATTGCTTTTACTTGTCAGACTGTAGCTTAGGGACCAGTTTGTGTTATGCGGAACCGTTCATCCCCTGTGAAAGCGCTACTATCTGACAAGTAAAAGCAATTCGCAGAAGCAAGTACATTTTATCGGCCACTTCAACGCGGCAACGAGAACGGGTACGTGACGCGACCACGTGCACTACTTTTCCAGAACTACACGATGCTCCACTGAATAAAGAACTGGCTTTTCCTAGCAGCGTATAAAGTGCACTCTGACCCGGCATCACAATTAAGTAGGAAGAACACTCGTTTGCTAGCATGTGCTTTGCTGCCCGCGGAATGTTTTACAGATCCACTAAAGGAACAACACGTCCATAATTCCTTCTGACATGCTGAACCATTTGTTCGCGATGCTGCTGCATCAATAAGGTCCGTGTTCCCAGCACCGCTTGCTCCAAAAAAAAACGAATCCGATACTCGCTTGTACTAAGAACGCCTTCAGGGCCCCCCAAGAGCATTTCGGAATACCGTCCCCCATGCCTTCCTTACATTAGCCTTTATTATGCTCCAGATGCCCTCGATGGGGTTGTGTGATGGAGTATGTCACAAAACGTAGAAGTCTCCCAGACCAGTAAGGTTTCTCCATGTGCGTATGACAGGGCGCGTTGTCGTAAACCAAAAGACAAGATTCCAACGCTGCTCCGTTTGTAGCAACCACTCGTCGCAGTCACCGAGCGCACCTTTGTTTGTTGTAGCTTCCGCCGAAAACCAAACGCTATCAAACCGCTGTTTGTCATAGCACCGACAAGGTGAACATGCGGTCCCCGCATCTTCGCCACCGCACTCGACTGCCACGTCGTGAGCGGCTCCTAGTGCGAATGCAAAATAGCTTGAAGCCCATATAATCGATCCACACGAGTTATCTTCCTTCCACCTCGTAATTCATGAGCTGCAAGACAAAGTACTTGCGTCGCTTTTTGTTCTGCGGCGTGTTCATGGACTCCTGAATAGTGCGCAGCTTCTCCACCCTTATCAGTCTATGGTCCAAACATCTTGAAACTGTGCTAGTGCTTATCACAAACGAAGGGGTTCAAGGCTAACGGTAGGCTCCACAGGAACCCACTCCACCTGGGAATCGAGGTGGCTTTCTCGAACTGCTCTGCGACTGACTCCCCTTTTCTGCTCCATCCGTTCCGTAGCCTCGTATCCACGTAGGGTAAGTTTTCACCTTCACATTCAGTGTACAGGCAACAGGTTTCCAACCGCCTCCTTTCTCGTACGCCTTCAGTATTATTTTCTTCACCTCAATCGTGTGACGCCTATACGATTCTCTTTCTACCATTGCGTTTATGTGAAATGTACGTTCACAATTACACGGCGAACGTATTTGGTTGCGGCTCGTTATCCCACCCTTCCAATCGTCGCACAGACGACTGGGAACAAACGTCTGCTCTCGTCCTAATTGGTGAGATTCGTTTCTTTGGATGGAGAAACATAGGCGCACATGGTGTATCGGCTGCCGACCCTGTAGCACGTTCGGACTGAGGCGTTTCACATGTACTCTTACGATTGACAGCGTGCACACGTTGCTACCTAGGTGCGTCTGAAGGCGCCTGGTCACACCATCAGCTACACACCTGCGCAATTAAGTGTTAGACGCCAGACTCAAATCAGTTGATTAACAGACCAACTTGTTTGCCCCTCAGAACAACTCCTTTCCTGTTCAGCCTATTTCGCTTTCCCAACGGGCCATTTGACCGAGAAATGGGGTGGTTCCGAACGATCCTATCTATTCTGTTTTTGGACTGGTGCCAGTGACGATAAGTGGACTAGTCTCAGATGCTACAACGATTTCACCTGCGAGACAGAAAGCACAAATTAATTACACTGCCTCACCAGTTTCCGTGAAAACACCGCAGATAAGGCCATACGCAGACGGTAAACCTAGCAAGCGAGATATCCAGTAGAACATCCCATATTTTAACAGAGTGAAGAGACCCTAATCAGTGCCATGGAATGAATCTTAAGTTAGCTAACAGCCTTAACCCAAAGCACGGAACACTTGGATAGAGCCAGTAATTTCATAGTTACTGTTGACACTGAGGTTCACGAATTCTTATACTTTTGGAGAACGGTATGATCTTTATTACTCCTGACAGGTACCTGACCGATAAAATAACGCATACATTTCTACCGGCTGCTTCCCTAGGTTCTGTCGTAAGACTTCGGAGAAATTCACATGAAAATATCTGCCCGATATAACTCAGCTCAAACATCTTTGAGAATGCCCGATCGTTCATTAATTGCAGGAATCTTAACGTAGCGAATACCGAATTCAAATCTGCATTGAGCGGAGCTGTGCGGACTCCATTGGAGACGTCCAGAAAAAAGAAGCGTTTCAACAAATCGTGCCAGCACGAATTCTGAACAGTCGTCTTTACACTGAAGTGTAGCCACATAATGTTGATCTAGATGACTAATGTATCGGATTCATGTTATGCCGAGGATGAGATTCCCTGTGTAACTAAGTTAAGGATATTATAGCCTTGAACGAAGATAAACTTAAAGCTGTCACGCATGTTAGCAACTTAAACACCGAACCATCTACGCTAAGTGAAAATAATAAGTTAGTTTATAGCTTAACTCTATAAGTAAAACTTAGTCGGTTTTTTTAAAATAATCACTACTTAAGAAGAATTGGTATGCGGGCCCACATGCACCGTGAGCCCACTGAAAACTCGTCCGTGTAGATAAAAAAACGGTGTTGGACAGTGTATAATGGCCAGGATCTCATATCAAAACCTAGTGATGAGAAATAACAGAAGTTTCCGGTCTAGTTGGCATCGTTGCCAATTAATCGCGAGAGGCTGAACATAAAAAGAGAAAATGGCACTTCACGGTGCTACTATACATTTAAAACATGCAAGATATGTATAGGAACGGTGAAACAAATCAGTTTGGATGGATGGCCGACGGTAGGACAACGGTGGAATGATTAGAAGGCAAAACAGAAGAGGCTAATTCCCGAGCTAGTAGCATGTGCAGGCGCGAAAGCAAAGAGATGGACTCCTGATTTGCATAAGATGAATGCTGAAGTTCGAATCGTATATCCACAAGAGAGGCAATTAACAGTTCCACTTGATCACGTCGGATACAATTCCGGCCCAACAAATGGCGGACTTCTGACAAAAGACGGAGGCGCAAGCGTGTTGATATAGCGGAACCAATGTCAGGGATGGAAGTACCCATGGAACTCGGATGAGCCAACGGAGCAAAACCGCCAGAAGTAGTGACCAGTAACTCAATCATTCGATCAACGGCAAGTTCTTCGTTTCCAACGATGAAACATTGTTGCAATTCAGCGTAACGTATGAGGAAGGCCAGTTCTGGAGACAGAGGGGATTTCTTTGTGCCATTCGAAGTGAAGTTCGTTACGGACTCTGGAAGTTGGCCGTCGTGATGAAAACCAAGCACAGCGGCAGCCAATTCGGATATTTCCGTTGATGTATTTGACCGATCAGCTAGTAATCCGCGATCCCGAGACAAAGCTTGCTCTATCAAGCGATTCACTACACCGTAATCCCTACCCAGCAAGGCCCAGCCAAGTGTTGTGAGTGACAATGGACACACCAGTGATAATGTGTCTGGGTAGTCAGTAGGGGCATTGTTGCGAAGAGAACACAGGAGAAAGCGCCGCGAAAATCCTCGGGCCAATTGTTTACTCGCATCCACAAGTCTACGGCGCTGAGCTTGAGCAATAAACTGGGAAAAAGAAAGAAGGGCCTCGGATATCATGGCTATACACATATGACGTCCAGATAAATGGGGGAAATGCTTACAATCAGAACGTCACCATCAGCTGGTAAACCAACCCACAAACAAGTTGTCCAAATAATCAACAAACTGGTTACCTAAGACATATGAGTCGTGTCCATGCTCACAAAGGTGGTAAAATAACCCTAATCCGCTAGATGTTACAGTTCGGTTGACTTTGGTGCGTCAAAACACCACATAAAAGGGATTAAAAAGCGCCTATTAATGACGGTCGAGGCCATTGTGATCAGTTATTACAATCGGAACTGTGCAAACAGAGGAGTTTAGTGCACACTACATTTGCCCATGCCCTGATTTTACCGCGCCGTTTAATTCGATCCCAGGCGGTGATCCCGTGACTCCATGTGCGCTTGTATCTTCATCCATTGGGGAGTTTGATCAACTGACATAGCAAACCGTGGCCTAGCTATCTTAGCCCATCGCAATGCAAACCATTTTATATATGTATTAGCCTGGAGAATTAATGAAAAGAAGTTTCTTCGCAAAAATGCTGATTCGAATTTTTACTTTCTTATGGGCATATTTCACGAGTTTGGGAGCAGTTGAAATCGGATTGAACCTTTTAGGATTGCCGCATTCCGAAAGGGATCCACCCTTGGAAAATGGGACAATGACGGAGCAGTTCCAGTCTCTCGGGACAGTTTCCTGCTCAAGCATATAAATGAGTTCTGCTATTGCGTAACTAAGGGCGATAGTACGTCAATGTTTTGGTGGCGTGTGACCAAAAATATTTCTGTTAACTGTTGCCAAATTGCGAAGCAGTAGAGTAATTTTCGAAGAATCATCCTGACGACTGAGGTCCGCCAAAGCATCAAAAGTAAGTCCATAAATAGTAACACAGTCGAGTTCGATACTGATGGATGAGAGAAGACCAGTAGAATGGGCCTGCGTGTCCCGCGAAGCTGTTTCCAATGGCTGTTTCAATAGCGGAAGTAAGGAGCTTTCTGCGGACAAATTCACTGCAATCCCAGTTTTACTATTGAGTAGTGTGGGATTTTGGTATAATTCAGAGGTAATTCATCCCAGTCGTATTAGATAGTCCGCTATTTATTATACTACGACGTTCTTTATAAAAATTCCACGTCAAGCAAAGACCAGAAATGTACAGCCCCGAAGAAAGACGTGTCATAGAACAGCTACTGAAACAGTACGAGTAATGTGAAAAAATAAGTAAGTTTAAAGTCAAACCAAGCAGTATCAAATCAAGTGACCAAAATATCTCAGATCGGACCCATGCCCCCAGGCAGATGAGTACGTCGCGCGAAGGGAGTAGAGATAACATAAACGAATGACTGCTCCTGTTGAACATTACTGGACAAAATCATTTTTCCCACTGAAATAAGACTAGTGGCGACTGTACATTCCAAAAGAGTAGTAGGGAATAGCCGAATGCTATAAGTAGTCCATCACCTCTAGCGGGTTCTAGACACGTGCAAATTATAAAACGCTGTCACTAACAATACTACTGATAAATAAGGTAAAAGCTATACTGTCGAGCGCATGCGACATGTCTGGTGTCCAATGCAAACGTCTAGGATGGAAAAGAAAACACTGAAGTAGTGTTGCCCGATCAATTGCAGATTTTCTAGTTAACAATACGTACACAGTTTAACGGGGCGTCAACTCGTCATAACCTAGCATACTCAGTTAAAAAACATAGTAATCAAACCACATCGGACACAACTGCAAATATCGCATTCTAACCCTGAACCACGAACATAAAAAGCAGAGAAAATATACGGTCTGACATATCAGTTGGTAACTCGGGAAGTCAGCACAATCAGTAGTACTGCCCATATGCTGGGACGGTAACATCAAGTGCTTTTGCTTCCGGCTCCAACACAAAGCTCCAATATAGGACAGTGAGTAAAAGTAATACCCGTAATACCGAGAGTAGCGGATTCAATGGATCGAACACGCCGTGTGTGACACTTAGGCGAAGAGTTCAGCAGGAGCGGCAGTCCGCTGGCACGGGTCCGACTATCAAAGCAATGATCGGTCGTAAGGGTCAAGGTGCACCCATAGAGGGGACCAACTAAGAAAAATGCTGTCAAGCCCCGATATCTCACTGGCTGTAATGACGGGTGCACATCCGGCATAAGCCACGTATATTGTCCCATTGTTCCTACAATTTGTTCAGATTACAAGGCTGACTCAATACAATTCTAACCGCAATTTTCACCCAGCGCTTCAACTCTTCCTTAACCTCAGATTTGCCAGAGGTGGAAAAGGAATACATTGTCCTTATCTCAGAATGTATTAGCATTAGGCACCATTGCTCCACCCCATAACCAATTTCCCCCTCCACAGCTCCATTTTGTAATCCACTTCATAAATCCGAAACAATCACTGAACACATGTCTCTGACGCTGTTGCAAGAACAGCTTGGTATATTCTACTCATACAATATACGAACACTTGCCTCTCTCGAACCCACTAGTTTTACCGGTCACTGAAACGCTTAACAAAGGACTCTCCTGAGTGAGTTTACCAAGTCAGGCTGCAAAGTATTTACCGACTATCTGGAATAGGTGGTGGCTGCGCCATCTGTGTCCACAATGCAATCCACGCTTTGGCATCGCCCATTCCCACATAAGGTAGCGTCGAAGATTCAGTTTTCTATATGTTATTCTAGATAAACTCATTATTATCGGGTCTATCCATATGCCGTTTAATCCAAGCTTTGCTGAGACAAGCACCCTAACAAGGTGTGTTATGTCATGTTGCATGCCAACCTGTGAACTGCAAGAAAATAGGGAGGGACTACCACACGCCTAAACACCGTCCGCACAAAATCGAAAAGCTTCGAATCACTGAGCATGTAGGTGGATGGAGTCAGCATGTTATAAGTCCCCCAAGAAAAAAAGCATAATTTGGCTTTGATCATTACACTCAGTCTACCAACAGCCTCCGACGAAGTTCTGGAGTGTTTCCCCGTGAGTGAACACAGAGTGATCTGTTTCTTAATCAATGGTAAACCGTCGAAAGGAGACTGTACCCTAACGTGGTGCGACGACTCGCGTAACTCTTTGACCCATTGTGCTATACTGGGTGGGGCCCTCGGGCGTTTCGAGAGATACTTCTACCAGGTTAGTCAATGGTTAGAGGTCAGACAAACTCAGTCTACTGGTCCTCCAGGTTACAGATTGCAAACGGGATAGCGTCCATTTTGTGAAACTAGATCATTGCTACCTTCCCGGTGCATTTCGTACAGGCTTTTGAGCCATAGCCTTTGGTCAAGGACCCTAATGGTCCTCCTGCCTATGTCTGGGCGCCCTGACAGTATCTCAGCCCACGCATAACCATGACTAATTCATCAAACTTCGACCATATTGTGCATCGGTCATCGCGCAGATTAGCAAGGATAGTCTTATCTGCTGCATACAGCAAAGCGGATAAGCGAAAACATGCTACTGCAGGCGTTTCCCTTCTTTCCTTTCCACCTGTTTCTCGTACTCCCATCCCGATCGCCATTACCAACTTTCCTACTATAATTCCCAGCTTAACTAACAGCAGCCTAATCCACTGGAGCCGGAGTAACTGCAGCTACCTTCCCTGGACGTCTATCCGCAACAGCCCCTCATAGGGCCATGCTACTCCGTTTCTCCGGCGGCGTTCAACGTTCACACCCCAAGACAAATAGGTCAACAGGCTACACTCGCATGCACGTTGGACACACTGGGTATTGACGTGTATCGCATATCCGAAAGTAGGATCAAGGGCCCTAATGAAATTGTCGAAATAACTGCACTCAATTTGTCCTCACACTATTTGTTACACGCATCCGGAGACACTGACGCGGCGACCACTGGTCAAGCCGGAGTAGGTATTGTTCTCAGTTGCAAGGCCGAGTCATCGTTGGTTGATTGGATTCCGGTGAACAGCCGTTTATGTGCAGCCTATTTGACGACATCAACTAAGGTTGATTCACGGAGTAGTACAAAACGCTGTTTGTTCGTGCTTCCCACCAACCGCAGTTCTGATGCTGCCAAGGACACATTTTACCATGAAGTGTATGCTGCTTCGCAGTGCCACCAGTTCAGATATCACAGTACTTGCATGGTATATGAATGCACCAGTACAGTAAAACCTCCGTAAGTGGACCAAAATGGTCAACATACGGAGGTCCTGTGCCACGACTTATCGTAACCTACTTTGCCGCTGAGTAGAAATGTATAAAATTCAATTTCATATAAACTCGTTTCGGACGCATTGGACGAGGTCTCACGTAACAGCAAACGTGGTTCAACCACACAATGTTATAATAAATCAAAAATCAAGCTAAATAATTTTCTGAAAATGTCAATCTTTGTCTGTATTTTTTCTCGTAACACAAAGATAACTGAAAAAGCGCTCACAACAAAAGCCATAGCGCTCCGCATGTTTTGGCATATTTCCACAGTAATTATTTCAGCTGCTTTAACGGGTGTCTAACTTCATCTTCTTTTTGATTTGCTGAGATTTCCAAATCATCGTCACTGAATCCTTCTTCTTCTTCTTCTTCATCAGTATCATCAGGTGTTTATTTGTTTCCGTAGGGGAGTACCGCAGTTAGTATCTATTAAAAAATAGCATCTTGGTCTGGCTTATAGCAAGTTGCCAAGTCATCATCCTTTATACAAATTCGTTAAAATGTAGTCCGTCGTATTCGGTCACGGCATCTCACTCGAGAGGTGGAACAAGTCCGGCTTTTCTGAAACACTTCTGTATTATTTCTGGTTGAACTGTGAACAAAGCGGAACTTATCCAAAGTGCACACGAAAGCGTAAACGCTGACGGCCTGGACAAACACGCACATATACACAGAGAACATTCTGTATCTTCATTGATTTGGGGATCAGAAGTCTACACACTACAGTCCCGTGTCACACCGTGTTAACAGAACAAACGAGCCATTCGGGAACCATTGGATGGTAAGCCAACAAATGGTCAAATTATGGTGGTTCAAGTATTACTGACTG